CTGTTCTATCATGTTTAAATGTTTTATCATTGATTGTTCATCGCTGTTTTATCATCCTCATTCGGGGTATGAGAGGTCCAACTAATTTTCATAATTTTTCTCAAAACCACATCTCAGCAGCATTTCAGGACTCAAGGCCGTAAATGAATACTTGAAAAATGTAACACTCCAACACTCCTGATTTTGTTCATATTTCGATTTTACTGTTGGCGAAGATGTTTTTCATTTTAGAATATGCATCTTTTGCCATAGCTATCTTTCGTTTGGTATCCACATCACATTTACAACCTGGGATAATCAGACTTCCGAGAAAATTGAAGCTGTTGACTTGTTTCCTTACTATCATAAATCATAAAAAGAAATGTTACACCAATCGATGATACTAATAAAAAAACTCAAGATATACTACAACAGTTGTAAGACAAAAACAACAATGACAACGACCTAATCTCTTATTACAGAAGTTATGTCACATATTAAACAGAATAGACGAAGTCGACCTCTGACAAATCATAAAAGAAACGTCACACCAATCAATGGCACTAATAAAATAAAACTCGGAATATAGTGGAACAATTTTAAGACACCGACACAATGCACCTAAAAATTGCAGAAGCTGTCCTAATAGACATCAATAAACCCCAAATGAACATCGAACAAAGAATGATTACATCAATACCAACTCGACATCTTGATACTAATTCTAATAACAATGAAGAACAAAGAAACAACAACAACAAAAACGAAAAATACGACACCAACTAAGTAATTCACTTTTTTGGAGAACTAACTTTTCTTTGTTTAAAGAAACTATATAAACCAAAGCTGCACTGAAGATGATTTGTGAAAAATCAAAATAATCGAATCATGATGGATTTAGATGACAACAGTTTTATTAAATTTTCATGATAAACTTGGATAATAATTCTATTTTCAATAAATTGAACAGTTTACAGAAAAATCTTGTAAGAAAAATTGAAAAAGCCAACTTTAAATTGATTAATGCCAACAATTCGGTAGAATTCATACAACGCTGTATATATATATATATATATATATATATATATATATATATATATATATATATATATACATATATATATATGTATGTATATCATCAATAATTATAAATATGTATTTGTATATATGTATATATCTCACACCCCATACCCCACACACTTAGACACATACACACACACACATACACACACACACACATATATATATATATATATATATATGTGTGTGTGTGTGTGTGTGTGTGCGTGTGATAAAAGTATCTATTTGATGTTGAAGACATTAATGCATTGTCACGCGCAGACAGACAGGCACTCATCAACCTTTTCATAATAAGTTTCTCTCATGCTAACTCCGCCCATGTCGTTTTTTCAACCAATTAGAACACCGCATCCAGTTCCAATTCATCAGTTTGTTTATATAATTAATGTTTAGGTTGTTAGTGTTAAGAAATTTTCAAAATCGGAGTGCGTTCTTTATTACTATGTGGGTTGTGTTGCTATTAATATGATCGTTGTCGTTGGAGACCACAAACCATCGTCATCGCGTCACCATCATTGCGACCACTGAAATGTTCATTATCATCTCATCACAACCATCAGCACCTTCACCACTGATCTTCAAGATGAGACAATACTCACGGTTATTTTCATTTGCGTGTTTGTGGTGATTCAAAACAAGAGTTGTGGAGATGTTGATGTGTGACTTTGACGATGGTGATTATGATGCTGCTAAGGATGTCCATGATGATGACGACGACGACGACGATGATTATGCAACCTATGAACTCAATCCATCAACCAACCAGCCAACCGACCGACCAACCAACCAGCCATACTACTAAACAACCAACCAGCCAACCAACCAACCGACCGACCAACCAGCCAGTCAACCAACCGACCAACCAACCAGCCATACTACTAAACAACCAACGGATTTGTTATTCAACCGACGAACCAACCAATCAAACTTACACATATCCACACACACACACACACGCACGCACACACAAACACTTTCTCACATTCTCTCTCTCTCTCTCTCTCACACACACACACACACACTTGCAGTTGATCGAATGATTGCCTCAGAAGAACACAATGCCTCGTCAGTCCATCGTTGTGTTGATTCAAAAAAATCTTCAGGGTGGAATTACGCTGGCGTGTGCTTGTGCGCTTGCAACCTGTTTTTGTATATCTGCGATGGCGGATATAGGGGGGGGGAGAGTCGGGGCATTGCCCTCCCGTTGTGAGCGGTTTCTTAATAAAAATCAGAGAAAAACCGTTTTATTTGTAAAATCGACCAAAAGTTTTGTTGATTGAAGGTGATAAGCCTAAAAAGTTCGTCAGCCACACTACCACAAATCTTGGCCACTCGGTGAAAATTTAAACATTTTCAAGTTTTTGGACCTCCCGTCAAAATTGTCTAGATCCGCCATCTGTGTGTGATGTGAAATTTTTGTATTTATTCTATGAGTGCATGTGTGTGTGTGTGTGTGTGTGTGTGTGTGTGTGTGTGTGTGTGTGTGTATGTGTGTTGTGTGTGTCTGTGTAGTTACACTGCTGGGCATGATATGATTTGTGAATGTTTTCGGTTCTGGAGATTTTGTTGTTATGCAATGTAAACGAGAGTGGAAGACGATGATGAGGTGGTGATTCAATTGGAAAGTCATCTCATCCACATCTAAGAATCTCTCATTTTCATCTCATTTGCACTTGTTGGATCTGTTGATGTTGTTGTTGATGTTGTTGTTGTTGATGTTGTTGGATCTGTAAATGTTGATGTTGTTGTTGAGGTTGTTGTCGTTACTAGTGTTATTTTGTTGCTGTTAATTTTTTTGTTGGTAGCCCAAGGTATACTTTTTGTTTGCTGTTAATGTTAGTGTCGGAATATTTCACAAGTGCTTCTGCCATGAAATAGTCTGTTCATCAGACACCAATAAATGTTCTTATTTAGTTCCTTGTTTCATGATGAGTAACAAAGTTTTTGAATCATACACATATACACATATACACATCTACACACACACACACACACACACACACACACACACACACACACACACACACACACACACACACACACACATACACACACACACACACAAACATATATATATATATATATATATATATATATATGTTGGTAATATATATATATATATGTGTCTGTGTGTGTCTGTGTGTGTGTGTGTGTTTGTATGTATGCGTATATATAATTAACATTTTTAAAGTCCTTATATAGTACTTTTAAATTAAATTTTTTAAAAGCGCTTTCATTGTACATTATTATTATCGTTGAATGCCGAAACGCCACATTTCTTATACCTGCTACATATTAATACTTATAATACACACACACACTCATTCGCACAGATCATTCGTCGTTTAATTGTTTGATATTCACTTGCACAACTTAAAGAGTACTAAATAATTATGATGATAATAATAATAATAATGGTAATGTTGATGATGATAATGTTGCTTGTGGTGTTATTGATGATGATGTTGTCTGTTATGTTGATGATGTGATGATGATGTGATGATGATGCTATTGTTGATGATGATGATGCTGATAATGACGTTCTACCGGTGGGAGTGATTGTTGAAAATGTGAACATCATTTTCATTCTTCACCCAGGATTTTTATAGAAACTTCAAATGAGAAACAATGTCTTTTAATCCAACTTTAAAAATTTCTACAAAAATCACGAAAATATTTTTGCGGGGAGGCGGAAATCTGCCTGGAAGGCCCGTGGAATGCGCGTCTGCGTTTTACCTCGGTGAAATGATGATGTGATGAGAACTGCGATATCAATAATCTCGAGTGTGTGTTTATTCAAAGAGGTTCATTAAAAGCTAAACATTGAGATTGAAATCTTAGCACTGAACAAACGCATCATCATCTTCAACAAATGCATTTCGTTTTTTCTTTTATCTCCGATGCACTCGCATTCAATTTCTCAAAAAGTTAACGTCAACAAAGTCTTCATAGCCAGGCAACATCTTCACACATCGTTATATCATTCTTCTCCAATAAATTTTTACAGTGTGTGATGGTTTGCAGTGAGTTGATCGAGCAATCTATCAAGTGGGCAGGGTAGATAATTGATATTTTATACAACAAACAACGCGAAACCATCTGTTAGTTAAGCAACATTTAAAAGTCAAACGGCAGGTCATTTTTTTTGTAGTTGCTAGTCCTTTGCGTTAAAATACTTTTATAAATAACCAAGACTTTTTTACAACAGTCAGTGTACGATATATATATATATATATATATATATATATATATATATATATATATATATATATATATATATATACAATATATATACAAAATTTTAGTTTTGAACTAAGAAACTTGAAAATGATTTACGATCAACCGTTAAAAAAAATCGAAAAGTTAAATTGAAAGTTAACTAACGCCGAACGTGGTGTGATTTTCATCAATAATATATATCTATAAATCTTTTAAAATTCAAACCCAATGGCTGCCATTCTTAACCACCACCATTACTTACACCGTCATGTCGCTCGCCAAGTTATGAATAAAATAACTTTCAGCTATTATAAACTGATAAGTTTGAAATGCCGGGGGTGGTGATGGGAATAAGCTCCCATCATCTATAAAATGCTCCCATATGGCAAGCGTCTCAAAGAGCCTCTGACAACCAAGCCCAACTTCTGGCCTTCACACGGCAGAACTGTTTAAACTAACAGGAGAAGGGGCGAAGGCGAGTAACTGGCGGCATAACCAGTTGCTTCGGGCAGGTGAAGCTCGTTAGCCTTGGTCGGCTATTTACCTAGGAGAAGGAAAACTCTGACTTTAAACCTCCGCTGCCTTGCGGCATACCTGTTCATGGGAAAGACTATGGGAACAAATCCAGACAGAAAACCACACTCCACCACTTGAGTTGCGGTCCAGTAATATCAGGTGCCGGTCCAAAGTTCGGATAGAAAGGAATGGTTGACAGGAGCTTGCTACACTGTTGTAAAAACGCTAATAACACGATGGTAGTCCAAAAAAAGTATGCACATACCGGCTCGGACGTCGCCCGGGTGAACAAGGTCCGCGCTGCAGCTTTGGGGACTAGAGACTGCAGTGTAAAATATACTGAGTCCCAGAAAGATAGACTGAAGATGGGGTTGACAGTTGGAGTTTGGAATGTCAGGTCATTGTGGCAGACAGGGGCTTACGCGTTGATGAAGAAAGAACTTGAACGATTCAGATATGATGTGGTTGGTCTGTGCGAGGCCCGATGGACAGGAGGTGGAGAAATGGAAGGTGGGAAGATATTATGGTCTGGAACAGAGAGGGAGCACGTCTATGGAGTTGGAATGGTTATTGGCGAAAAAGCAAAAAAAGCACTGTTGGAGTACAATCCAGTGAATGAAAGAATGATGTAAGCGAGGTTTAAGGGATACCCGAGAGACATTGATGTGGTAGTGGTCTATGCTCCAACAATGGATCACTCGGATGCAGAAATCGAGGCATTCTACGATCAACTGGAGCAAAGAAAGTACTGCCAAAAAAAGATGTTAAGATAATCACCGGAGATTGGAACGCAAAAATCGGAAGAGACAATATTGGTTTTGAAGAAGTCATGGGAAAATACGGTATAGGAAACAGAAATAATAGAGGAGAAAGACTGCTGGAATTTGCAAAGGACCAAAAAATGTATATAACAAATACAAAAACACAAAATACAAAAAAATGGACATGGGAATCACCAGATGGAAAAACAACGAACATGATAGATTTGATTTTGATAGAACAGAAATGGATGAAATTTGTAACTCAGTGCCGTGCTTTTCCAAGTGCAGAGATTGGATCAGATCATCGTTTAGTGTTATGCAACGTCAAGATGAAAATAACGAAAAGACTAAAGTCAGGCGAAAATATCAAAAGAGTGAAATATAGCACAGAAATGATAAAAAAGAAGTTGAAAGACATCAGAAACGTAATAGAAAACAAATTGGATACAAAAACAAAGTACGATATGAAAACAAGAGTAAGTAACTTGGAGAAAGTGCTTAAGACTGCTGCCGAAAAATGCGAAGTAGGGAAAACATAATAAAACCCTGAATAAGTGATGAAACTTGGAAACTCGTAGAGGAAAGAAGACAGCTGAAAGCAACAAAAAGACAAAACAACGAAAATGAGATGAAATATAAACAACTGTGTTGCAAAATAAAGAAAAGTGCCAGAGCGGATAAAAGAAGATGGATAAACGATAGATGCGAAAGGGTAGAAGCACTAGTTGGACAAAACAAGAGAGGCGTATCAGCTAGTCAGACAGTTAAAAGGAAAATTGAAGAATACGTCAAGGATTATTAAAGACAAGGATGGAAATGTTCTAACTGAAGGCCAACAAATCAAAGATAGATGGTCGGAATATATCAAAGACCTGTTCACAGATAAAAACACGTATACAAAGGAGGTGTTACAGGCTTTAAAAGAAGGAAAAGTAGTCAATGAGGAAGAAACGGAAATAACATTGGAGGAAGTAATAAAAGCAATGAAGAAAATGAGGAACAACAAGAGCATAGGGAGAGACGGAATTCCCATAGAACTGATCAAAGCGGGAGGACCAATTGTATGTAATGAGATTCACAAAATCTGCCAAGAAATCTGGGACAGTGGTAAATGGCCAGAAGATTGGTGTAAGCAGAGGTCAAACAACTTTTCATTGTTTTGTGGATTTTAAGAAGGCGTTTGATTCAGTTTGGCACGAAGGTTTGTGGGCAACTTTGGAAAGTATGGGAGTGTCAACAAAAATGGTAAGGGTGCTAAAAGGGCTTTATGAGGAGTCAATAATGGCGGTAAAGGTAGGTACAGGGCTGGGAGACTGGATCAAAGCGAACATAGGAAGTAGACAAGGAGATCATGATATAGATCTGCTAGCATCTAGTGCAGAGGGTCTACAGAAACTGATCAAGTTGACGTATGATGGTGGAAGAAACCATGGACTACACATCAACAGCAGTAGGACAAAGATAATGATTTCGGAAGCAGGTGGAAACAATAATGAATTCCAGATAGGAGCAGAAAACCAATTTATATATCTGGGCAGCCTCATAACTGATGACAATAATTGTTCGAAAGAAATTGATAAAAGAATAGCAATCGCGAGAGGAATGTTTGCATCTTTGAAAGTAATATTGAAAAACAGTAATGTATCTACAAAAACAAAATTAAAGATCGTAGAAGCGTGTGTGTTTTCTACATTGATGTATGCATGTGAGGCTTGGACGTTGAAGAAAAGAGACAAAGACAAACTGAAAGCATTCGAGATGCATTGTTATAAAAAGTTGCTGGGAATCAGTAGGAGACAAAAGATAAGAAACGATGCCATAAGAAAACAACTTGGAAGACAAAAAACTGTGTATGAAAGTGTCAAGGAAAGAAAGCTGGGTGTCTTTGGGCACATCTGCAGAATGACAGACGACAGACCGATCAAAAAAGTACTGATGAGAAAGAGGGACTGGAAGAAAAAAGTGGGAAGACCTGTGAGGAAGTGGATGGATGATATCACGGAATGGACGGGGTTTGGAACATTGGGCTCAATGAAGATGGCGAGGGAAAGAAAAGGAATACCATAGAAGAATACCATCGGCCTCAACGGTCCCTTAAGGGATTACAGAGGATCATTGAATGAATGAAATGAATGAAGTTTGAAAGTGTACGCTGAAATAATTGTATGAATAAATGAATAACCAAAAATAAAGTTGGTGTAGCAGTGATGATGTTGCATGTGACCCGTTGTAATGAATGTGAACATTCGTCATAAGGTCCCATCTGTTTCCATCCAGCTCCATTAATGACGAGATTTTTATTAAATTAATGTCTGCTGGTCATGGTTTCATAAAGACAATATGTCGTCATCATCATCGTCGTTGTCGTCATCATCATCTTTATCATCATCACCATTTGGTTTAGGGGAAGTTGATGTTGGCAATAATTTTGTTTCGATGCTGTCTCTTTTGCACTCTTAACGCATTTTAAAGAAGAGGAAACATTTTGTTGACGCGCTCTCCTCTCCAAGTCGGCGGTGGTGAAGTTGCAGGGCTGTTAATATCGAACTATCGCTGTTTCGTCGATTGCATCGCTTGTTCTTTCTTGGTATCGGTATCGCCGATACAAAGAAAGCAACGCAGCGTTGATATAAGCTCTCCGATACATTTAAGAACTGTGGACATTCCATACCTACACTTTTCACCGAAGTTGAAAAAGTCGAACTTGATAATTTTTTACATTGTCAATTTTTTATTAATTTTATTTTATTATTATTATTATTACTATTATGGACGCCTAATGTGCAAGTTTGTCAGTTGCAGCGTTTTTTCGTTTTTGTAATGGCAAGTATCGTTCAAAATACCGGTACTGCGATACCGATACTTCTGAAAGTTAATATCGTTATCGTCGAAACTTTTCGGCTGTAGTATCGCTATCGGTATTGGCGATACTTATCATTAACAACCCTGTTAGGTTGTCAGATTCATGAAACTTTACTGAAATATTGTTCTTCCTGCGCAATGAATAGCACGATGATAATGTTTAGCGTAATTGTTGTGAATGTGAAATAATTATAATTTGAGGTTGCAGTTTTATAATGTTGAAAAAATGTTAAAAAGTTAAAAATAATCATCAAATAATTATGATAAAAATAAAATAAAATCTTAAAAAACGACATAAAACCTAAATTCTCATATTTGAAAATTTAGAAATCATTTCTGTCGACCTAACAGTGAAGCCTGCAAAGTGTATCATTTTCAACAACAAACTGCTCTTTATTCAAGAGAACGTTTGCAATCTTATATATGTCTGTCTATCAGTCTGTCTGTCTGTCAGCATGCTAGTGCGTGGAGCGGTGGCGGATCTTGGGAGTCCGGAGGGGCCATGGGGGCTCCCGTTGTACGCAGTGTTTGTATTGATAGTCAGTAAAACTCAGTTTTTGTTTAAAAAACGCACCATCAAATCATGACCCGTCCCGTTAAAATTTAAAAAAAAATTTAAACCTTTTCAAAATTTTAGCTCTCCGTAAAAGTTGTCTGGAGTGTATGTACATGTGTATTATATTAAATTTTGTTCATTAAAACTATATTTTGTTATGTTTTTCTATTTAAAAACAAAAGATTGGTTTAATTTATTAATGCCAGACATAAAATGCAACACTAGCACTCTTGAACACTTCACAAACAGCGGAGTAAGTAATGTTGGCTTTTCATATTTAAGTCTGACAATCAACACAAAAAGGTTTCGTATAAGTTTGGTTGGTGATGCATCAAAATGTTCATAATTATCTGCGGTTTGTGAGAATGGATTCATGTTAATTCATTGTAAATTTCTGCTTGCTTCACTTCTTTTATCCATTGCAATAATTTGCTTGCTGTTTGTCTTTTAGTTCTCTAAAATGATGAGTCAATGGAGGCCGATAATGAGAAGTTGAAGTGGATGTGATGATGGTGATGTTCTTGTTTACAATGTAAGCGCCCACACTCTCTAACGAAAATAAAGAATACCTACTTATTCCCTAACAATTTTTCATTGTATATATATATATATTTATATATATATATATATATATACATATATATATATATATATATAAATGTGTGTGTTTATTTGTTTTTGTTTGTGTGTGTTTGTGTGTCTGTGTATTTCCTGTTCTGTTGTTTTACTTTAATCGTATGTATGATATAATTATGAGAAGGAAATGTTTGATAGAGACGTAGAGGTATACCCGATCTTATTCGTCGTATGGAAATAAATTAAGAATGTTTTGTAAATTTGTTGTTGATATTAAAAATAATTTCAATTCCTTTTGCAATTTTTTAAATTTTAAATGAAGTTAATGAAATTATTAAAATCTTTAAAAATGATTTAATCATCATTTTAATACTCCTTGAATTTTGTTGAACTTCAAATGAAAGCATCTCTAACTTCCTGATAGCAATTATTCGTTGCCCAAAACCCAACTTGACCACACTCATGCTCTGAAATCATTTGCTCTCAAACATTTTCAAAAATTTTTCTCACAAATAAAATTTGATTTTGCAAGGAATTTCAAGCGATCATCACACATTCAGTGATTCACTCGTGGCTTATTTTTCTCAACGAATTCAAATGATTTAAGAATATATATCGTCAGATCGTAACTAATAAACGTTTCTCACTTCTACTTCTTCTCATTCATTCTACATTTGGCCGAAATACTTCTGACGGCTACATTTTTGCCAGAGTATTGCAATTATTTCGTTGCTTTGCTTCTTCTTAACTAAGTAATTTGTTTATGGTGTTTATGGCTCTTATTTAATGAAATATAAAGTTTCATTAATTTCCTTACTTATTCATCGTAAAGGTAAGCTTTCGTTGAGTCAGTGAGCTTCAACGTCTCAAATTGTACGATATTTATTGTTAATTTGTGTTAAAAAAATCATTATAACAAATTTAACTTATATTTATTGAATTTTTTTATTCATTCATCTATCTTTCATTTTAAAAATAATTCGGGCCTAAGATATCATGTGCAATCATTCATCTTATTATGTTCATAACAATGCTAAATATAGTACGTAATGTGCACCAATAAATCTTTTATTATTATTATTATTGTTGTTTTTGTTGTTAATATTAGAATTATTATTATGGTATACCGTTTAAACTAAAAATTCTAAAAAACTAAATAAAAGAAAAAAAATATTGTGGAGAAAAACAAAGAAGTATCGATGGTTGGTAATGAATTAATTATGACAACCATCGTTTGCTCTGTTTCGCTGGTTTGGTACACACTCCAGTCATACACTATGCTTTACAAACGTGTGTGTTAAGTGTACTAAGTGTGTACAAGTGTGCTTTACATTATATTCACAGTCTTCAGTACGTAAATAAATTGATTGTGTATATGTACGTGTTAAGTATTTTCAAGATTTTATTACAGAAAGCCTGATGCACAAAAACTCAAACACTTGTAAAAGCAATCCATAACGTAAAGATATAAACATTAAAACATTATAACAAAAAGATATAAACATTAAAACATGTCAATTTGAAGAAGAAAAAAAGAACATCCCTGTCAATTAACATATGCACACATAGACATATATAAAATTATTATTATTATAAACATTTACTGAACGCTTTTTACAAACAAAAAATGTTTCTAAAAAGCACCCTCAATATATATATAATTGTGTGCAGGTGTGTAGTACTTTTTGGGCATGCGTATATACGTATCAATAAATATTGTGCACTCTCCTTGATATCATTTTGAAGAGCTTTTGATTTAAAAAATACTTCATCATCACCTGTCTACACACTGTGTAGCCATGAAATAATTTCTTTTATACAGGATGCATCATGAACGAAATAAAACTAAAAAAAATTTGCACAATTAAACATGATAGAAGTGATGTAAACAAAACTAACTTCAACTAATCACAAAGAAAAAACAAATATACTAGCCATAAAAATTTAAATTTGATAGCGGTAATCTATCACCGAAAGTGAACGAAAATGACAAAATGAAGTATAACAAATGATTTGAAAGATTGACGTACATTATATAAACAAATATAAAATGTGTATGTATATATATATATATATACAAACATCATTGAAGATATATGCCCATTTTGCATTAATGACTTTCTTTAATGAACACTCAACAAGTCTGAATTTATTAAACTCGTATTTATTTAAAACAATAGACATGGCAAGGCTAACAGCGCTGTTTCGGGAAGTCCATCTTCAGAGCCGATGAAAATAAGAATAGCATGAAATATTTTTATAAAATTAGAATGCATATTAAATGTGTAATAAAATTATTAAGAAAATAACGAGAAACCTTTGTTAGTGAAAACAATGCAAAACATGTACAAATTAAATTTATGGTTAAAAATATAAATGTATATAAAAAGTTAGTAAAATAGTATTAAATTAAATATTAAAACAAATAAATTAATACTGAAATTTAGTTCAGTGAAAATTTGTTAAAATCGGATGATGTAAATAAAACGTAAATAAGTTAGTTGAATGTGAAAAGAAGACATGTGTGGAAAGAATATGGAAAATTGTCAAAATTAATTATTAAGTTTATAATGATATATAAGAAATTTTAATAAACGAATCCGTAAATGAAACAACTAAATTAGATTAAAATGGAATATAGACTATTTATGAAAAAATATAATGGAATAAGATAAAATAAATGAAATAAAATGAAAAAATAAAATAAAAATAAAACAAGTAATTGTAATGTATCACAGCTAATATGGATGTTAAGATGCACTGTCGAATAACGAAACCAGCGATACGGAAACATTAGTCCTATGACGAGTGGTAACATGTTCACCATTAAACAGTATCGCTTCTTTTGGCATTGGCTCGTATTCGAAGTGGCGCAACATTGGTGGTTCTATGATATTGGTATGAACGGCACGTTGTTGACTATCATGTCTATACTGGGAGTAAAGATGTAGGCTATGATCAAATGTGTTAAATTGTTTATTCATAGCGGGTTTATACATCTATAAGAATAAATTGAAACTGTGCGGTGTTGCTTCGTTTGGACCATTCTGTCGCATTTGACACTATCTATCATCATATACATGCAACTTAACTGACTAGCCTAAAAATTAGGCTGATGTGTTACAATATATAAATTATAAACAGATGATCTAATGAAAGAAACAATGGAAAATGAACAAGAAAAAAAAGAGGTAGAAGTAAATATTTCTAAGACTTAAAAATGACCAGGCAATGTCTTCAAAGTCTCAAAATAATTGCATCATGGATAAATTAGAACAAGCATTGGAACAGTATGGAATACAAATTTATATCAAAAAAAGAAAACAAAATCGATAAAATAAATACTGAAAATTATAATAAAATTAAGTTTACAGTCTACGGAGAGCAAATCGAACACATAACAAAATTCTGCTAGCTCAGAAGTGTGATAACTAAGAATACCAGTTCCTTTGATGATGCACAACTAAGAATAAAAATGGCAAAAAAGCGTTAAACAAAAGAAAAGAACTGACGAGACGTCATCAAAGCACGAATGGAAAGAAAAAGAAGAAAAGGGAAACAGCGGGAGAGAACATGCTCTTGAATTGGATGGAAGAAATAAATATATAAAACTGAAACAAAAGGCTTTGAACAGAAAACAATAGAAACATTGGAATACACAATCTGCTAAAGAGCAAGAACTCAATAAACTCAATAATGTAAATAACATAGCTGCTCTCAAAACTAACTTTTTCCAACTTAACACTGAAAAGCCTGTTGTACTGTTTTTATGTTCCTCGGCAACCGTCAACAACTTTCAAAACGCTCTCCTCGGTCATCGCTGGTTTTTTTATGCCAATTCAAAATACCGTCAAATTTCTAGGCGTTACTTTTAACTCTTAATTTTTTTATTATAAAATTTGGTAAATACTTAATCTGGTCGATTCGCCATATTTGTCGTTATTTCTGTTGATTTGTCTTCTACTCTAGCTGCTGCCATGTTTTTTTCTCTTAAACGGTGCTTTTCTAAAACTCATTTTCTTTTTCTAACGTGTTTAAAACAAATTAACCACATTAGTTTTTGATGTGCCATATTACACTTCTGGCTCAACTTCACTGATCAAATTGCTATGTATTCAACAACGTATAACATTTAAATATGTGTTATTCATCTAGCAATCATTAAATAAACATTAACCACTTTTCTTAAAAACTAGATCGGATTTAAAAACTAATTTAAATCAACCTGTTAAAAATCTGTTCTCGTTAATCGTTGAATTTTTTCGTGCTTCTTAGTTATAAAACTAGAACGGCCTGCCCTTATTCATTCAAAAACAACCAACACTCTATCTCTTTAAAAAACACTTAAACAATTATTGGTTTTTCAGGCATTTGGATGTGACAGCGATATTATATCTTAAGCGCCCCTGACGTTATGGACAGGGCGCTAAATAAATGACATATTATTATTTTCGTAAACTGATAACATTAAACATAACACAAACATTCTTGTTTAAAAGTTTTTAATTTTTTGGTTACCTAATTGGTTACAATATTATATGCGTTATATCCGAGTACGTTCTAATGTTGCAAAAATATATCCAAAAATTTTGGGGTCGTAATCATTTGAACTTTCATCCGAAAGCACTTCATAACCAAGTCCGCCGTTAACAAAGTTTCACCATGCAAAGCAAAGTGTGTGCTTACGAGTATGTACGCCATTACGCATCGTGCGCTACTTATGATTTATCATGTAAAATATCTTTCAACAGGTATCATGTTATTAATTGCTCTCACACTTATACAGTTTCTAAAATATATATGTATTCATAAATTTTGAATTAGTTAAAGTGTTTTGTTTTTTTCCTTTAGCTACATATACAGTGATCTAAATGCTGTTAATATTGTTTTATGATTATTATTTCTTTGTTTTATTTTTTATTTTTGGCTCAATACATCAGCCAAAATTTAAATTTTTCAAGTGCCAATTACTTTTTAAAATGATCTAATATAAAAAACTTTAATCTAAGGTTTAATGACCATTGAAATTTTGTTGCTGTAACGCGAAAAATAGGCGGCGGGGTTAGCGCCATATCAGATAAATTTATTATTTGATTCACACAATATTTGAATGTACAATGAACGTTGTATATTTATTTGTGTTGCATATTCCTTATAATGCACCATGCTAATGTAATATCAATTTCTTCTAAAATATTTATAAAATTTGATAGACATTGCGGTACTTATGAATTTGATCTGATAATTTTTCCACAGCGGTTCATTTTTCATGGAAGAAAATGAACGAACAATATGTCGGGCATTTGATACTGATGAAACATTTTTGTGATATTTTATTTTTCAATTAGGAAAGCATGAAAGCATAAGAAATTTTTAAATACTTTCTAGATAAGTATAAAATATTTCTCTTTTGACTTATTTTAGAAGAACAATTTATAGTTTAAAACCTCTTGAATGAGCAAGATATTCAAAATTCCTTTAAAATTGTTTGTGTGTATGTGTGTGTGCACATGTGTATGTGTGTGAATGTGTGCACATGTGTATGTGTGTGTGTGTGTGAATGTGTGTAAGTATGCGTGTCCGTGCGTCTATGGTGTATATATTTCTGTCGACTTGCATGTGTGTGTGTGTTTGTGTGTGTGTGTGTTTGTGTGTGTGTGTGTGTAAATAAATGGATTGAAAGAGCAAATGAGTTGCATATGTGTGTTTGCAGGCAGGTGATCGCGACAAATGATATGAGCGAATGTTTGCTTAAACAAGCGAGGTTCAATGTTTTCTTTGAACTCATCTTAGCAATTGTTTGTGTCGAATAAACAAATTTTTTTTATTCATTGCTGATTCAACTCACAAGAGCACATCATTGACAAATTTTGTGTTGCAATTCGTCAACAATATCTCCACAAACAACAACACAAAACAAACCACAGTATTATCCTACTGACATCTATATCATTTGCATCAACGAAACAAAATTCAACACAGTTGCGCGACAATTACTGTGTTCCATTCCTACAGATCAGCAGACGTAGACTTAAGTAAGAATAGTAACAAAAGCGAAAAGAAGCAAGCTACAAAATATCAACACCTAAACTGTTGAGACTGTCGTGTATATATTAATTTATGAAACACACTGCGTTTTTGTCATTATTTAACTTATAATTAAGTTTTATTTTTCAAGCAATAAATTTGTCTTCATTTTTCAGTTTACTGAGATATTCTGATGACATATAACATTGAAAATGGTAAAGGATTACCGAATAAAGCCTTTTCTGTATAAAATAAAAATGAATATAAGAGTAGTTAAAAACTTTGTTTTCTATATAAATAAGTTAAAAAACATAAAAATATAGTACGAAATATCTAAATATTGAAAAACTCAACCAGAAACTGATCAAAGCTGGAAATGCAATGGTATTTCATAGTAATAATTATATATATATATATATATATATCTATATATATATACACTGTTTATATGTTTTCATAAGTATCTATTAAATACATTCTTCGTTGTTAAAAGAAAAACAAGACATACACCGGAATTTTATATTCGACCATTTCGTACTGCTTTATTTTCACAGTCTATTTTTATTTATGGTGTTAAGCTTTGGAAATTGTTAAATGCGGGTTTTCAATTATCATCCACCCTAACTAATTTTAAAAAACTTAATTCCCTTTCTCTGTTCCCATAATAATTACCGATTTTTTTTCAACTTTGTAATTATTGTTTATTTTATAGCATTGGTCTTAACTAATTATTATTCTTAAGATATGTTTTAGGTTCAATATTATTTTCGGTTTTATTTGATTATATTAACAGAATATGTTTGGTTTTCTGTTTTGTATTTTTTGACAAAGTTTAAATCAACTTTGTCATATGGCACAAAGTTGAAGACTGTAAGAACTAATTAAATGATTGTCAAGTATTCACTTTAAACAAACAAAGAATTAACATTGTGGAGACATAGTATATATATATATATATATATATATATATATATATATTTTCCAAAATTTTATTGACATCAAAGGCAATCAAGAAGTTATAATGAAAACTTGTGCTGATTACCTTAACTGAGGTGCAAGATGTTCAATAATTGTCGAATTAAGCAATAAATCAAAATGTTATATTTAACAGAACAAAATATCATAATCAATAGAAACAAAAACTGTCTACTATTAAAAGTTTGAGCAGAAATTATTGTTATTCAAGTTCAGATGAAATGAAAAAATCGAAAATAAATAAAATTCAGTAAGTCATACAATTCTCAAAATTCAGTCAATTTCAACAACATCACTAAGAAAACTTTCTTTAACATAATTTTTGAACAAATTTATTGGCATAGTTTTAGCCTCAACACTGACAATAGCATTCCATAGCTTTACTCCTCGAACCGACCAATTTCTTTCATTTGTCCTAGTTCTACTTATAACAGAGCAAAGCATACCATTCTGTCTTGTTGATGATTTTGTATATTTAAAAAAGTTTAAAAACATATAGTTTACATTGTTTATAACTTTATATATAAAGACAAGGGTTATATATATATTAATTTGATGAATGTTTAATATCTTATATTTAGCAAATAGTTCTTTAGTATGATCAGACCTATTTAAAAAAAGCAAGTGCGTAAAAATATTTTTGAAGTAGCTGTAATTTGTTTATTAAATATTTAAAGGTTGATCCCCAGAACACATTGCAGTAAATGAAGTAAGGGTAAAAAAATGAGTAATAAATCATTAGCATTGCGTTTGGAGTTAGCTTGTTGCGTAATTTGTACGCAACGCCAATGACTTCATATAATTTATTAGCTATCATGTGCACATGTTGCGTCCAATTCAAGTCACTTTGTATGAAAATTTGTATGACAATATATATATATATATATATATATATATATATATATATATTGAGCATTTGGCCGCATACATAACATATCAATTCAAACAC